TTATCTTTGCACCTTTCTTTTTTTTCTTTTTATTCTTTTTTTTTTTTTTTTAACACAATGTTCCTTTCATTAGGATCATCGTATGAAACTCGTTAATTATTTATAACGAGGACCGTCTCATCCCTAATTATGAAGGATAATTATTAAAATATATAAATACAATTACATTTAAGGACGTGATCCACGTGCAGCTTCTTCCAGTGCGCGAACTTTAAGCTCGCGCTCACGCTGTTGTCTAAAAAACACCCTTTGTTAGTCCAATACACTGGTCGTCTAAATCAAGCATACATATTGTAAGCTTTGTATGGATTTCAAAGGACGAACCTTAGATATTCCTCGTGGTGTGCAACAAGTGAAGCATGAGGAGGGAATCGATCGCGTTCCATCATGAGATGACGTTGTAATTGCTCATGATGCGCTGCCATATCAGCGTACGGTCTTGCAAGAAGTTCCGCGGGATGAAGAGCCAGTGCTGGGTCACGGGGCATTAAGCCTGGTCGAGGATAATTTGCACCAGCTGCCGCTATACACATATAAAACATTAGTAAATTGTAAAAGATGATTGTGTTATTGCCTCCATAAGATAAATAAAGCTTTGAGAAATTTATGAATAGAGAGACATGCATGATAAAGCGTGAAATTTTGTTTCATGATATTTGTTTTTATAGCTGTCGCAACTTTCTTCTTCTTCTGTTGTTTGTCCAAAATTAATTAGATATCATAGACTATGACTAGATTAAATTATGAATATCTTATTATTATATACTTCTGCGCATAATTCTTACAATAAGATTGAAATTATAAATTAAAATGATATCTTTTATTTTATTTTTTAAACATTAATCAAATTTTACTTACATAATTAGATTTTACTTTTAAATAATTAATTTTAGACAAATTTATATAATAAAATTAATATTTTATAATAAAATTGTATAATAATAAAAATATAAAGATGTTATGTTATTTTAAAATTGATGAATTATACAAGTAATATGCAATATTTAAGAGAATCATCAAACGGATTATATATGAAAATATTTGTGTATTACAAACACATTGTATCTTTTCCATTTACACTAGTACACACACACACGCACGCAATCATTGCAATTTATTTAAAGTAATTTAATGCTATTAAAAACTCATAGAATTTTTATTGATGAATCGTACCTTCACCCAGAAGCTGCATTCGATGATCGAAAAGCTCTGGTGCCAAGTTAATAATATGGTATAGCGAGAAAAGCGACAGAAAAATGCAAAAAAAACTTTTGCCGCAGAGAAAAATTTGTTTATTTATTTATTTTTTTTTTTTGTAAAAAAAGATAAGCTGTTGGCAATAGTTAGGATGCTTTCAATTTAAATTAAAGTGACCGACATTAAATTGATTAAGCACGTATAGTACGCTTATACGCAATCGATCGCTTTACCGATCACGGACTTATTATTTTATTTAAAAAAAAAAAAAAAAATTTCTCAAAAAGTATATAAAACTAATAAAAATATAAATTTATTTCTCAGAAAATATATAAATCTAATTTTATAATCTAATATTTATGAAAAATACGGAGATACAATTAATAAAATATATAAATAAATAAATTAAATTATGATTGTGGAATTTTTTAATAAATATTTTTTAAACTATAAAAAATATTTTATCCGAAATTATCAAAATATTTAATATTTACGTATTATTAAAAATAAAATTGTAATATATTTTTACAAAAATAATTTTTTTTAATCTTAAAATATAAAAATAGTCGGTGAAAGGAGCGATCATCGTGCGAAAGCATACTCAACATCCTAATTTGTAGGACCTACCAGGCAGGGGGAATCCAGCTGCAGCCGCAGCCGCTTCCTGCTGTTGCTGAGCCTGTTGCTGGGCCTGCTGCTGTCCCGGATGTAAGTGTAAGTGCGTATGCGCATGCGTATGCGCGTGAGTGTGAGCATGATACTCGGGC